AGAGATTCTCTTTCTAGCGGAAGTTCCTCTAAGTAGACTGAAGAACAACAAGGTGAGTGTCCTTAACCCTACATTCCTCGTCTTTCACATCCTGTTCTTCTTCCTTTCATCTTCCAGCTGTAGGGCTACAGCTAAATCTTCTTTCTCCCCTACGGGGCTTTGACACGTGGCTGATCTTGATTCGCGCGCAACACGGGGCTGTGGGGCTTTGTTCTTCTTCCTTTCATCTTTTGCTTCCTGTTTTTTTTTTTGTTTTTTTTTTTGTTTTTTCTTGCTGTTCTTCGGATCCTCCCTGGCAAAGTTTGCCAGGGGTACCATCGCTGGCGAGGAGGCATGGAGAGTGCTCCTCGACAGCATGGTATAAAGCTGTGGGAGACGACACGTAAAGTTGGAAGGGGTAGGCATGTAGGCGTAGCAGCTTGGGATAAAGTACGAAGACAGGCCTGCGGAATTACGGATTAGATGTAATATATTGTCACATAACAGATGTAATATATATTTCTTTCCTTTGCAGGGGAAAATGCCAGAATTAGGAGGAATCGAGTTATGGATTAGTGGTAATTTCTCCCTTACAGGGAAAAATACAGAAATTACGAGGAATCGGGTTACGGATTAGTAGTAATATAATTATTTTTTGGAAGGAAGTATGATGAAATTGGGACAGTGCTGTATCTTTAATTCGTCTTAGGTAGGGGGACAAACTTAAAATTCACAGGGGTTCATTAGCCCAAATAGGTATGCCCGGTAGGACCCGCATATAGCGGCTGTATGATAGTCAGGTAGGGTGTGGCATTTCCAGTCCGTTACGATCGAGCGTGGCTGTGAGCGCCAACGTACCGGAAAACGGGCACGTTGCTACGGAAAAGGCGGGGCACGTTGCTGCAGTACCGGCGCCCGCGTGGTTTCGAATTGGGAGGGAAACTGGGATACGTGGAAGACTGTGGGGAACCGAGTAGAGGTAGGAGGAGTAACGGACTATGGGCGGGAAAAAGGAGTGTGGAATACGAATTAGAATGACCAGGTACCTTCGGACCAGGGCGGATACGTGAACTACCTAAGAACCTGAACGGCGAAGTGCCCGCGTGCGAGAGATAGACCGGCTGCTGAGGGTCGAGTATCGATCCGAGGCAGGATTGTACAGCCAATCACGGGAAAGGCGGGGCACCTTGCTGCAGTACCGGTGCCCGCGTGGTTCCGAATTAGGAGGGAAACTGGGATACGTGGAAGACTGTGGTGAACTGAGTAGAGGTAGGTGGAGTATCGAAATACGGGCGGGAAAAGAAGTGTGGAATACGAATTCGAACGACCAGGTACCTTCGGACCAGGGCGGATACGTGAACTACCTGGGAACTTGAACGGCAGTCCAGCACGCGCGAAGTGCCCGCGTACGAGAGATTGAGCGGCTGCTGAAGGTCGAGATAGATCCGAGGCAGGATTGTTCAGCCAATCAGAACGTAGTTGCTAGTATGGCAAGGCGTGTGCAAGGGAAGGCCGAAAATATATAATGAGGGCAAGGCCTGAACCGCCCTCACTCGCTCATGGGTGGTAAGTGTAGGCGGGCCGTAAGGCGCTGGGTTGGTGGCATGCCTCCTGATGAGACCGGAGTGCACCCGGTTGAAACGTAGAGGAATGTGTGCGTGTTCTGAGCATGTGCACACGCTGGTTTACTTCTTTGCAATATCAGATGTCTGCGTGTAAAGAGCAATCGGCCATTGCTTGTCTTCTATCTTCATGAAAGCGTAGCAACCGAGTGAGCGGCGACACTTACATTGGTGGCTGCGTCGACATTAGGGGTTAGAATTTGGCAGTGGTAGAGATAAGCGTGACAGGTAGTTGGCACGTAGTGGACACGTACGATCGCTGGAAGTCGATGCCATTATTTGATATTACGAGTGAGGGCAAGGAGAGAGGCAATATGTTGACACCGAATAGAGGGGATGGAGCAGGGAGCAGTAGTGGCAATAGGGGCTGCTTCAACTGTGGGCAAACTGGCCATTTCGCCAGAGATTGCCCCGCTGGGAATAACTCAGGCACGCCACAGCCGCAACAGCAGCCGGGCTTGTTTGCAAATAACACAAGGTACTGGCAGAACAGGCGTGAGCTTGAAGACGACGTTAAGACTATGAAGGAATGGATGAGGATGAAGCTGAGGAAGGAGCAAGAGAAGATGGATAAGAGGCAAGAAGAAGAAGAAAAGGCAAGGAGAGACGAGGAACAGAGAAGGCTCCGGCAGGAACAAGAGCGAAGGCAGGCAGAGCTTAGGAGACTCAACGAGGAAACTGAGCTACGGATCATCTCTACGGTAGCAAGGGAGATGCATCACTTCAGAGCGGAGATACGCAGCGACATACATACAGCGCTGACAGCCAGATCGAAGACCTCCAAAGAGAAGGGGAAGGGAAAGGTGAAGTCATCGGATGATCATGCTGCAGATGAGCTTCTGAAGTATTTGCAGGGGGAGATCGCTGAGTGCTCTCGGGATGGAGAGGAGCGAGAAAGGTGGTTCTTCACGCGTAAGAACAGAGGACAGAGAACAGCAAGAAGGCTAGGGTCACCGGAGGAGAATGACGATGGGGGGGAGGTGACGCCGAGACCGGAGAAGCAATGTGCAAGCACAAAGGGACAAGGAACGGACAAGAAAGTACCGGCAACCTGCAGCAAGGAAGGAGTGATAGAGTATGTACTCAACGTTAGGAAAAAACTCTCAGAGATGATGGCACAAGAGATCAAGAAGCTCTGCGTGAAGTAGGGACTTGAGTACGTCAACAAAGAGCAAGGTGTCAGGGAGCTGGTCCGTGCTAGGACAAGGCTAGTGTATGAAGGATGGCTGAACGAGGACAAGCCGACTGATGCCACGAGGTTTGAAGGAGACCTGGGCGAGACCAACGAGGAGGAGTTCTACTCCGATTGATGGTACCTGCCCTCAGATGCGGAGGTATGGGACAACATGGCAAGGTTGCTGAGGTTGAGAGGTGTGATCTGGGGGCTTACAGGCTGCGCAAAACTGCGGCTCTCCATCGAGAAAGCGCTGGCAGCTTGTCTTGTGTACCTAACTAAACGAGGCGAAATCCCGTGGGCAGGTAAGGTGCTGGATGTAGCACCGCGGAACCATGATTTTTTCCTGTTTAAGCAACCCGTAGTATATTGTCTATTGTCGCCCTGGTGTAAGAAGATTTACGTTGGGCAGACTGTGAGAGGGGCAGCGGAGAGATGGTGGGAACATTTTAGGTGTACGACTAACGGTGACAAGGGAAGATCGCCTAATCTATATAACTGGCTGCGCCGCTACGGCTGGGAGAAATATATTATTCTCCCTATTGCAACGACGTAGACCACAAGGCTTAGAGCTCTTGAGACCACGGTGATCAAGGGGCTGTCTCCGACACTGAATGAGGTGGGGTTGGAGAATAAAGGAAGGAAGAGGAACAAACCGGGGAAAAGGGAGAGGAGGAGGCAACGGGTGGAGAATGCTTCGGTAGAGCCGACGTTGCCTGAGAGAAAGACCCTTATTACCTTTAGGCTACAAGGGGACGTAGAGACCAACACGAGCCTCAGGAAAACCATTGATAGCGCTAGTAGGCTGGGTAGAGCTGTCTGCATGGAAAGCAGTGGAGGCCTAATATGGGGAGAGAGCTGGGCAGCGACTAAAAGGGTGTATGGCACAACCTCGGTTCTGCACAATGGCAAAACGGTGGCCTTAGCACAGGCAAAATGCTTGTTTGAGGAGGGGGGTTCTGGGGGGAAGTTTCTGGCTCAAGGTTATCACTCCTACAGAGAATGCACGTGATAGATGAAAGTATTACCTTAGGCTCTTGCTTGAGGTACTGTATAAGCGTAAAGAACTCTAAGCAATGGAGGTGGATAGGTTGATGCAACTTTATTCTAGCGCGGGGGCTTTCCCGGTGAAAGGGACGAGGAGGAAAATCAAGGATATGATTGGAAAAGTGATAGGCCAGAAGGAGGGGGTGAATATTAGGAGGAAGACAACTGTGTCGCTCAGATATGACAGCGAGGTCAGGAAAAGAGAAGTTCGAGCGGTCATGGAAAAACAGATCTTTGAAACGGAGCTGCACCGGACCATTAAAAGTGCATTGGTAAGGAAAACAAGGCTAGTTTGGAGCCGCAACAGATCAGTGGCGAGCATACTCTGCAACCACAGAGAAGCGGCAAAGCTAGGCGTTGGAGATCGCACGTGCGCTGGGTATGACCTTAATAGACTGGACGGACATGTGCACACCAGAATCACCGAAGTCCTGGGCATCAACATGCAGATCTGCAACGGAAAGAACATCACCAAGCCGGCGAAAAGGACAGGGAAGACTGAACTCAGGGCAAGAGTATTCGCATCACTAAAGGCAACTCTAGGAGTGCGCTTGGGGATCGAGGAGCAAGAGCTTCAGGTGGAAGGCTGCATCGCTGAAAGAACGGGCAATAGTGGGGCAGTAGAGGAGGATGAAGTGAAGCAATTGAAATGGAAATTCCGGCAGCTGGTCATTACTCAGGTAGACAAGAATCCTGGGGAACTAGTGCTGATGTGCCCGTCGACCTATCAGCATGCCCTCAAGAAGATGTTCGTCTACAACAGCGCCTATGTACTCGCCAAGTGTGCAAACCACTATTCTGGCGAAGATGCGATCCGAGTACAAGGGTGCGCAACTAGAGAAAGTGGCTGCTTGGAACGGGAAAGGCGGTATAGGAAATGCATACGTGTTGCCGAAGCATAAGGACCTCGCCAAGTGGAGACCTATTGCGCCGGTTAATACGGAGCCAACCAAGACGGGTAGCAGGAGAGTGGCCAGGGCGCTTAATGCGCTGCTCGTGCGGCTCCCTGTTGTTGAGCATTTCAACATGGGCGTGACGACACAGCTGAAGGAGAACCTCAAGAGGATAGAGAAGGAGCAGGGTTGTAAGAGAGAAAGTGCGATGATGATTCTGTGCAGTTATGACATTAAGGAAATGTTTACCTCGCTGCCACACGGGGCAATTGTGGACGCGGTTGAATGGCTGCCCAGAGAATGGGAAAAGAAAGGGAGATCAAGGGTCAGTGTAAGCCGAAGAGCTAGAGAGGTGATCTTCAACCACAAGAGTTTAGGAAGTAGCTACGTGCTGCTTACTTCAAAGACTATTCGGAAGTTTGTGAAGTTCGAGCTGGCGCATACGTACACAAAGTGTACCGGTACTCTGCTCAAGCAGATTGTAGGCATCCCGATGGGTAAGAACTCAAGCCCGCCGCTGGCGTGCATCCTCTGCGCCAAATATAAAACGGAATTTGTCGGTTCGCTGGGGAAGGACCGTGCGCTCTTCCACAGTATCAGGTTCATGGATGATGTGGAAACGGGGGTGTTGGTGGATAGATGGAATGAAGAATCATTCCACCGGGCGGAGGAGATCATGAAGGCTTTCGAAACAAGCTACGGGGAGAAGCTCATCCTAGTGAGAACGGATGAGGGAGACAACACGATAGACTTTATTGGCGCTAAGGTTCCGGTAGCGGCTGGCCCGGTCAGATTCCTGGTTGCGCCGCAAATGAAGAACCAGGACTGAATTACCAGCGGGGTAATGCCATTCCGAAGTTTTCAAGACTTCGCATCTTACTCCGAGAAGAAGGCAAAGTACAGTGCAATAATTGGAACACTCCACAAAATTAGACGAATGGCTAACTCCGGCTGTGCGGTGGTTGTGCCGGTTCTGACGGTGAAGCTGGAGCTTAGATGCCGGGGCTACACCCCGACGTTCTTCGGATCCTCCCTGGCGAAGTTTGCCAGGGGTACCATCGCTGGTGAGAAGGCATGGAGAGTGTTCCTCGACAGCATGGTATAAAGTTGTGGGAGACGACGCGTGAAGTTGGAAGGGGTAGGCATGTAGGCGTAGCAGCTCGGATAAAGTACGAAGACAGGTCTGCGGAATTACGGATTAGATGTAATATATATTTCTTTCCTTTGCAGGGGGAAATGCATGAATTAGGAGGAATCGGGTTACGGATCAGTGGTAATTTCTCCCTTACAGGGAAAAATACAGGCATTACGAGGAATCGGGTTACGGATTAGTAGTAATATAATTATTTTTTGGAAGGAAGTATGATGAAATTGAGACAGTGCTGTATCTTTAATTCGTCTTAGGTAGGGGGACAAATTTAAAATTCACAGGGGTTCATTAGCCCAAATAGGTATGCCCGGTAGGACCTGCATATAGCAGCTGTATGATAGTCAGGTAGGGTGTGGCATTTCCAGTCCGTTACGATCGAGCGTGGCTGTGAGCGCCAATGTACCTGAAAACGGGCACGTTGCTACGGAAAAGGCGGGGCACGTTTCTGCAGTACCGGCGCCCGCGTGGTTTCGAATTGGGAGGGAAACTGGGATACGTGGAAGACTGTGGGGAACCGAGTAGAGGTAGGAGGAGTAACGGACTATGGGCGGGAAAAAGGAGTGTGGAATACGAATTAGAATGACCAGGTACCTTCGGACCAGGGCGGATACGTGAACTACCTGAGAACCTGAACGGCGAAGTGCYCGCGTGCGAGAGATAGASCGRCTGCTGAGGGTCGAGTATCRATCCGAGGCAGGATTGTACAGCCAATCACGGGAAAGGCGGGGCACCTTGCTGCAGTACCGGTGCCCGCGTGGTTCCGAATTAGGAGGGAAACTGGGATACGTGGAAGACTGTGGTGAACTGAGTAGAGGTAGGTGGAGTATCGAAATACGGGCGGGAAAAGAAGTGTGGAATACGAATTCGAACGACCAGGTACCTTCGGACCAGGGCGGATACGTGAACTACCTGGGAACTTGAATGGCAGTCCAGCACGCGCGAAGTGCCCGCGTACGAGAGATTGAGCGGCTGCTGAAGGTCGAGATAGATCCGAGGCAGGATTGTTCAGCCAATCAGAACGTAGTTGCTAGTACGACAAGGCGTGTGCGAGGGAAGGCCGAAAATATATAATGAGGGCAAGGCCTGAACGACCCTCACTCGCTCATGGGTGGTAAGTGTAGGCGGGATGTAAGGCGCTGAGTTGGTGGCATGCCTCCTGATGAGACCGGAGCGCACCCGGTTGAAACGTAGAGGAATAAGTGAGCGTTCTGAGCATGTGTACACGCTGGTTGACTTTTTTGCAATATTAGATGTATGCGTGTAAAGAGCAATTGGCCATCGCTTGTCTTCTATCGAAAGACACTCCTCCCTGCGTTAGTGGTGCTGATAAGAGCAGACACCACTAGCACTGGGGAGAGGCTTCCTTTGCCCCCTAAGGGGCTTTGACAGGTGGCTGATTTTGACTTGTAGCTGATCTCTTCCGGATTTCCTTTGATTTCATTCCTCTTTCCTTCTTTCTTACGTCTTTTTTCTCTTTCTTTGTTTTACTCTTCTTCTTTTCTTTCTCTTCTGCGTCTTCTTCTTCTGAGTCCTTTTCTTCTTCTTAATTCTACTTCAAATTTTCTCTTTTCTTTGTTGTTCTTCTTGTTTTTGTTTTTCTTCTTGTTACTTTGTCACAAAGCAAGTGCCATCCGCTCAATCCCGCTAGCATCGGAGAAACACAGCTAGAGCAAAGTAGACGACGAGGGGAAAGAAGAGGAGGTGAGATGAAGCAGGCGGGAGGACGGGATGTGCAGAGTGAGGAGGGAGAAGGAGGGTGTGGGAGGAGGGGACGATCGCGGAGTGAGGAGGGAGGAAGGTGGAGGGGAGGCTCACGGAGGTGGAAGCACAGGCAGGGAGAAGGAGGGAGGAGAGGAAGCGGGGAAAGTGCAGGAGGAGGTGGAGGGAAAGGTGAGACAGGCGGGGGGAAATGCGGGGATGGGCGGGGGAAAGGGGAGAACCGCAAGAGGAGGAAAGGTGGCGGCGAAATTGCGGGAGGAGGGGAGGCCCGCAGAGAGAGAGAAGGAAGGAGGAGGGAGGAGGAAGGAGAGGAGGAAAGGCGGTGGGGACGGAAGGAAAGGCGAGAGAGGTGCCACTGGAGGGAAATGTGGGGAGCAGTGTCGTAGCCCCGTTCACCATTCACGGGGTTTGTGAACGGAAACCTGTCATGGAGTTCATGGAGTTCACGGCGTAGGAGTTCATGGAGTTCACGGAGAGTGGGATCGGTTTCTTTTTTTTTTTTTTTGGCTGGGGGGTTGTGTTTTGTTTTTGTAGGAGGGTGGGGGTTATGGGAAGGTAGCCCCCCATATTTTTTTCTTTTTTTTTTACGAATAATATTTTTTTAATTAAAAACAAACAAAAAAAAAACAGCCAAAATAAGCATTTTTGTTTGTTATTTAAACTTATTTTGTAGGTCATTTCGATTTGTTTTTATTTTTTTAATGTCATCACGGCTCTTTCGTGGTCTGCCCGTTTACAGGCGCAGGGTTCACGTTTAAGTAACTGGTGCCGGTCACGTTCACTGTGATGGCACTGGCGGGGAGAGGCGGGGGAAAGGGCGGGAAGGAGGAGGGAGGAGGATGGCAGAGGTGGAAAGGTGGCACGGAAAGTGGGGGAGGTGGGGGGAGGAGGAGGCAGAGCGTAAAGATGGCAGGGAAAATGCAGGAGGAGGGTAGGCCCGCACAGGGCGAGGAGGAAGAGCAGGAAATGCAGCGGGGGAAAATGCGGCAGGAAGCGGAACATCGCGGAGGGAAAGGCGAGATAAGCTGGGGAAAATGGGGAGATGGGCAGGGGAAAGGGGGGTCCCGGATCGGAAGAGGAGGAAAGGTGGGGGGAAAG